TTTTCATAGCAGAGTGTATATTTAATTTCCTTGCTTTGTTATTTTTGTTGTGCAGTATCACTCATTTTTTGTATATTATTATAATTGTATGAGTGGGTGGTTGTATAGGCTGCTAGTCATCTCAGTCAGTCGACCCGTGGCACCTGCTGGGTCTGCCCCGTGACCTCCTGCCAGCGGGCGTTCGACACTTCACGTGGCCTCAACGTGCACCTAGCCTGGCACAAGCGCCGTGAAGACGTCACCGCCACTTCGTGGCGAATGGCGGTTGTTGTTGTTCTTTTGTGACGATGTGTGACGATGGGGGGGGTTGAGAAATGTGACGTCACATAAAAATGCGCAACTTTAAATGAATATAGACAACACGTTCTACTTAATTATATAGACGTTTTAAAACATGTTTTCTCCTACAACATCAGAGTGCAGCGCCACATTAAATACGCACTACAATGACAAAAGTTTAAAGCGATGTGAAGCATGTTTTATTTGGGGGGGGGGGCAGAGCTTTGTGACGTCATATTTGAGGGGGGATCTGACTTTTTGTGACGCCCTGTGACGACGAAGGGGGGGGGGGTCAAAAATCGTCCAAAATCGCGTGACGTCATTTATGGACGGCCCTTTATTACCAAGCAAATCATTTGGTTGGCAGTGGTGCGCAAGTAGAATTGACAAAGAAAGGCAACACGACGCATTCGTCGATAGAAAACAAACAGTCGACGTTTCGGGCAAATGGCCCTTCTTCATAGCACACCCATATGGTGACTCCGCGAAGCGATGTGTGCTGTGTTGGTGGGTGTTGGGGCTACACCACACACTGCCCCAGGCTACACCACACACTGCTCCAGGCTACACCACACACTGCTCCAGGCTACACCACACACTGCCCCAGGCTACACCACACACTGCCCCAGGCTACACCACACACTGCTCCAGGCTACACCACACACTGCCCCAGGCTACACCACACACTGCCCCAGGCTCCACCACACACTGCCCCAGGCTACACCACACACTGCCCCAGGCTACACCACACACTGCTCCAGGCTACACCACACACTGCTCCAGGCTACACCACACACTGCCCCAGGCTACACCACACACTGCCCCAGGCTACACCACACACTGCCCCATGCTACACCACACACTGCCCAGGCTACACCACACACTGCCCCAGGCTACACCACACACTGCTCCAGGCTACACCCAGGCTACACCACACACTGCCCCAGGCTACACCACACACTGCCCCAGGCTACACCACACACTGCCCCAGGCTACACCACACACTGCTCCAGGCTACACCACACACTGCTCCAGGCTACACCACACACTGCCCCAGGCTACACCACACACTGCCCCAGGCTACACCACACACTGCCCCAGGCTACACCACACACTGCTCCAGGCTACACCACACACTGCCCCAGGCTACACCACACACTGCCCCAGGCTACACCACACACTGCCCCAGGCTACACCACACACTGCTCCAGGCTACACCACACACTGCCCCAGGCTACACCACACACTGCCCCAGGCTACACCACACACTGCCCCAGGCTACACCACACACTGCTCCAGGCTACACCACACACTGCCCCAGGCTACACCACACACTGCTCCAGGCTCCACCACACACTGCCCCAGGCTACACCACACACTGCCCCAGGCTACACCACACTGCTCCAGGCTACACCACACACTGCCCCAGGCTACACCACACACTGCTCCAGGCTACACCACACACTTGTGGGGGCCGTTGGCCCCCGGGGTCCCTCCCGCCTGCATCCCCCTATTCGTTTACGTTACCCCACCTCCCTATTACCCGCTACGGTTTCGCCGGCATTCGAACGCGACACCCCTACTATTTACAGCCTCGCGCCGCGCTCCCACGCTGCGAGCATACGTGCGCACATCATCATCAATCAAACGCCGTGCTCGCAGTATAGCCCTGTGCGGCACGTTACCAATGCGCATCCGTATCCGACACGTAACGAACGTATGCGCACTCCCACACACACAGCTCTGCACGGCACTCACTCTTGCGCCGCTCTGCGCCGCGCTGGCCGCTCACGTTACGATCGCGCACCTGGGGTACGCCGATTTCGCACGACGAGAGCTTACGCATACCCCGTACCACACGCGTTCACACTTATAACACGGGATCACACGAGCACACGCAAGCGGGGCACGCGCCGACACAACGACTCAAGTTGCCACCGCCGTGCGCGCGAGATACACCGTACAACAATGCGCAGCCGATTACGCGCTCGAGCACACGCAAGCTCGCACAAAGCTAACAGCTCCACTGCGCACCGCGGTTTCGCACACGCGAGCGGGGTGCACGCCGACACGACGACTCGTCCCCTCCCGCACTCGCGCGTGCACGTCAACACAAGTATCGTGCAAGGACGATTCTCCTCTCACACGGCTGCGTAGGCACGCCAACACACAAAAGTGCTCTCCCCGGGCGTTAACACACACACCTCCGTACCCGCACCATCGTACAGAGACCACGGCCTTTACGCATACAACGACCACACACCCGCGAATGCAGTGCACGCTAATACCACGTTCAAAAACACCCAACAACACGGTTTTGTTACTACGCTCGAGATTTTATTAACCCTTGTTAACTCACCGAGCCACCCGTGTGTGTGTACGAGCCAGCAAGGCGCTTCCAACCCACTCTCTAGTGGCGTGCAGCCCTATTCTATGCTGCGCTCTCTGTTACACCGCTTTCCTACTCGTCCTTACCCCGAACTAACCTTCTCCTACGGATCCTACTCTCCGCTCTGAGGTGTTGTAAGGCGCGTAATACGATACCGTCTGTAGTCCTGGGTGACCTTGCGGCGCTCAGGTCGTCCTGCAGACGATCCTGCGGCTCGCCCGATGACTCCCTCGTCGTTGACCCCGTGTCACTACTCCAGAAGAAGAGAGTCCCCTACTGCCCCTGCGTTTTCTTTTAAACTATCCACATCAAAGCTAGGCGCCCCCGTCCCGACCGCCTTGGTCTCTCGACCAATCCTGAGCCTAGGATTTCCCGCCCTTTTGCGATCCCGCCGGCCTTTTGACCTTTTTGCTAAGCAGCAGCCCCGGGTCCTGATCCTAGCTATCTGCCTTGCTGACCCGTGTTTGTGTTTGTATGCGTTTCTAACTGCGGGGCTCTCTGAGCTCGCCGTGGTCGTGCGATCTCAAATCCGCCCACGGCGCCGCAGTGTTACTTAGCCTGGGAAGGGTCCTGTCCAATTCCCTGGCCCTGAGAAACCGTGGGGTAACCCCCTGAGGGGGCCCTCGGGTGAAAACTCAGGGTAGGTGACCCGACCACAAGGCCCTACGTGGGTGCGGGTGCGTGCTTATGTGGGGGGGTGATGGGGGGCAGTGCAGTGGTGGAAGCCGGGCGGCTCCCTGGCTCGGCAGAGCGGCCCCGTCGTTGTGGCACCACACACTGCCCCAGGCTACACCACACACTGCTCCAGGCTACACCACACACTGCCCAGGCTACACCACACACTGCCCCAGGCTACACCACACACTGCGCCAGGCTACACCACACACTGCCCCAGGCTACACCACACACTGCTCCAGGCTACACCACACACTGCTCCAGGCTACACCACACACTGCGCCAGGCTACACCACACACTGCCCCAGGCTACACCACACACTGCTCCAGGCTACACCACACACTGCTCCAGGCTACACCACACACTGCCCCAGGCTACACCACACACTGCCCCAGGCTACACCACACACTGCGCCAGGCTACACCACACACTGCCCCAGGCTACACCACACACTGCTCCAGGCTACACCACACACTGCTCCAGGCTACACCACACTGCTCCAGGCTACACCACACTGCCCCAGGCTCCACCACACTGCCCCAGGCTACACCACACACTGCCCCAGGCTACACCACACACTGCCCCAGGCTCCACCACACTGCCCTAGGCTACACCACACACTGCCCCAGGCTACACCACACACTGCCCCAGGCTACACCACACTGCTCCAGGCTACACCACACACTGCCCCAGGCTCCACCACACTGCCCCAGGCTCCACCACACTGCCCCAGGCTACACCACACTGCCCCAGGCTCCACCACACTGCCCCAGGCTACACCACACACTGCCCCAGGCTACACCACACACTGCTCCAGGCTACACCACACACTGCCCCAGGCTACACCACACACTGCTCCAGGCTACACCACACACTGCTCCAGGCTACACCACACTGCTCCAGGCTACACCACACTGCCCCAGGCTACACCACACTGCCCCAGGCTCCACCACACTGCCCCAGGCTACACCACACACTGCCCCAGGCTACACCACACACTGCCCCAGGCTACACCACACTGCCCCAGGCTACACCACACTGCCCCAGGCTCCACCACACTGCCCCAGGCTACACCACACACTGCCCCAGGCTACACCACACTGCCCCAGGCTCCACCACACTGCCCCAGGCTCCACCACACACTGCCCCAGGCTACACCACACTGCTCCAGGCTACACCACACACTGCCCCAGGCTCCACCACACTGCCCCAGGCTCCACCACACTGCCCCAGGCTACACCACACTGCCCCAGGCTCCACCACACTGCCCCAGGCTACACCACACTGCCCCAGGCTCCACCACACTGCCCCAGGCTCCACCACACTGCCCCAGGCTACACCACACTGCCCCAGGCTCCACCACACACTGCCCCAGGCTCCACCACACACTGCTCGAAGCTACACCACACACTGCCCCAGGCTCCACCACACACTGCTCCAGGCTACACCACACACTGCCCCAGGCTCCACCACACACTGCTCCAGGCTACACCACACACTGCTCCAGGCTACACCACACACTGCCCCAGGCTACACCACACACTGCTCCAGGCTACAACACACACTGCTCCAGGCTACACCACACACGGCTCTATATTTAGAACCTCGTCTGACTTGGCTGCCTTCCAGACTCTCACGCGGGAGCCTCCGCGAAGGGGGGACGAGGAGGAGGAAGAGGAGGAGGAGGCAGCGGTGCCACCCCTCCCGCCCTCCTTTGGATGAGAAGCGAGCGCGAGGGCTTCTCTTTATTGCCTCTCCCCCCCACCTCTCTCTCTCTTCCCAGTATTTATTTATTTCACTCGCAAGTGGCCGGAGCAGCGAACACCCCCCCCCCCCCCCCCCCCCCGTCTCTCAAGCGCTCGTCCCCCTCTCCAGCACCAGCACGGCGACACTCGGGGGAGCGCTGCAGGAGAAGCTGCTGCCGCTGCTGCTGCTGCTGCTACAACACCAACGGGGAGCCGAGAGCAGTCATTGTCTCCTGCACGGGCTGTTGCGACCACGACACGCAAACCTCACATAGGACAGAGGCTATGTATTCACGAGCACCCAATGCACGCGGCCATAGGTATGCTAACGCGTTGTTTTCATAGAGGCGCACCAGTTCAGAGAGACACATTGAGACAAACAGTCTATGCGTTCGGCTTGTACACGCACACCGATGCGCGCAGGTAGGGGCTATAAGGCGTGCAGTTCTCGGGGTTCTACACGATTCACACACACAGCATCAGCAGCAGCGGCAGGGAAATGAACAACACGGCACCAGTTGAGATGGTAGGATGCACGCACTCGGTCTAGATCACACCGGGCTACGCGCGCGGGTTACGGTGACGCTCAAGAGTGACTATTTGTGAATCCGTTGCCTACCCCGATGTAGGTAGACAGCTGAAGCGTACGCCAGTTGTGCGTGGGGGTTTCCCCCCCCCCCCCCCCCTTCGTCTTCTTCCATTCCTTGGGCGGCGATAGCGTTGACAGCACGGGCTGGCGTGTGGGCTATTGTTGTAAGCCGCCGAGGCTGGGTTGTTGATTATTGAATACCGCGGTCGAAGGCGACGACTCCGACTCCGTCACGTGGAGGGCAACCACAGCGCGCAAGAGGTCCGTGCCAACACCGTCAGAATGTGTGAACACAATCGTGGCGAGTTGGTGGCCAGATTAAGTCGTTTACCGAATTGCGGCGAGACTTTTTTTATATAATTTTTTTTTAAATCAGAGTCACAGACGTACGAACGTATACTTCATTGTGTTGTAACTCGATGACAGACCCGAAATTACATAGCGTCAGATGTATTCGTTGGCGATGCGTGCGTTGAGAAACCGCTCCGTTTGGAAATGCAACCTTGCAAGACCTGTTATACTTGCACGGTGCACTTGCACGTTAATTACATACGAATTTAAACACGCATTGTCATATAATAACAACAACATAGGGAGGTTACCGAGAAACACTCGGCAATCTGGGTGAACAGGCAGTCCGCGACAATGTATCGATAGCTGCATAATTCGTGCGATCGATAGGTCTGCAACTATTAACAACCACACATACATAGTAAGTCGTCAGGCAAATCGACTACGTACACAGGCATAGTATATGGATGCACATCAATTCTAGGACACGTACAATCTGGGATATACACACGTGCGCTAAACTACATACACATCAATCTCGGCAAAATACACCTTCCTGATGGTACCCATTCTATAAATAAATACACGAATCTATAGGTCGAGAGCTTATAGATACACACACACACCAAGAAATACACGTACACACTTTGACATACACAAAAATACACATTGAGGTCGATCATCTGCACCACGATCATACTCTCAAATTACGAAGACCCCTCCCCTATAACCTTAACAGACTCTTGGGGTAAGTGCAGCTCGCGAGACACACAACACCCATAGCCTGTAACAGACTGTTGGGACAAGTTATGTTGGCGAGCACCTATTAAGATCAGTCCGGCAATCAAAGAGGGTTGGGTGGTGGTGGCCAGTCTTCCATACACACACAAGACAAAGACACACACACACACAAACTCTCACGCACGTACCAACTAGTACTCGTACACAGCACACAGCGGGGGGGGGGGGGGGGCTACAAGGAGACACTGCGAGCCCCGTGGTATCAGCAACAGAATTCGGCGTAGGCGGCACCCAGATTGGAAGAGACGATGCCGTTCTTCTACATCGTGGACGACCTGCCCCAGTCGCCGTGCGCGCCCCGGCTGGAGCACTTCGTGGAGCAGCAGCACCACCGCCAGTACCGCGCCAGCGCCATCCGCAGCCGCGCCGAGCGCCTTCAGGAGCCCCCCGGGCGCGACCCGCGGCGATTCGCGGAGCTGCGCGCCGATTGCCTCCGCAGCGGCTCCCTCTACGTGGACCGCGACTTCCTCGCAGGGGACGCAGTGCTGGGGCCCTCGCTGTGCGGCCAGCGGTGCAGTTGGCGCAGGCCCACGGTCAGAGGTGGTGGGTGGTGGTGGTGGGTGGTGGGTGGTGGTGGTGGTGCGTGGGTGGTGGTGGTGCGTGGTGGGTGGTGGTGGTGGTGGTGGGTGGGTGCTGGTGGTGGGTGGGTGGTGGTGGGTGGTGGGTGGTGGTGGTTGGTGGTTGGTGGTGGTTGGTGGTTGGTGGTGGTTGGTGGTTGGTGGTTGGTGGTGGTTGGTGGTGGGTAGGTGCTGGTGGTGGTGGTGGGTGCTGGTGGTGGGTGCATAGGGTGTGTTACTTTATTGTGTGTTGGAAAAGAGCTTCAGATTCCTCCGGTATTAAATATTCAGATTCTGGAAATAAAACGTATAAAACGACGTTTCGGGCAATGGGCCTTCTTCAGATGTATGTGCAATGACGAATAGCCACCACACATGCATAGTTGATTAATGTTTTAATGAAAATGGGCCATTGCCCGAAACGACGTCTATTTTTATTTAGTTCTTTAAAGGCAATGTTATTGACGGATGTGAGTTTTTGTTTTTATTTGTGGTTGCGGACCACTGCCAATGCATTGCCACCGAATAATTTGAGTGTGCGTTAGGGTGAGGTGCCTTAGTTAGAGTTAGTGGGGAGCGGTGGCGCAGTGATCAGCGCACTGTGCTACAAACCTGGTAACCTGAGTTACATTCCTGCCAACATAGGTGACGAATATCTGAACCGGTCTTAGGCCTCCCCGAGATCGGTTCAACCTTGAATGAGCCCTGTACCTGATGGAGTGTGTAAACATCGGCATTGGGGATACAAAGGTGACCGACCGGGCGTGGTACTGGCCACCCACACCCTCGTGTGCTGTTCCGGCTTTAAAAGGTGCGCTCGCAACCAGCACTTCAAAAGTCTGTTGAAGGCTATACGGGGTTGATAGGTTACTCTGTGTGTCACTGTTAAAGCGTGTAGCCTACATTATGTTACCATGCCAATATCAGCGTTGTGTCAATGTGTGCAACATTTTGCGAGGATGCATATTATGCCATTGTGTCTATTTGACCTGGGTCAGTGTCAGTGTGTGGGTCAATGTGTGGGTCAATGTGTGTGTGTGGGGATCGGTAGTGTAGCGGTTAGCGTGCTACGCTAGGTACCTGGCAACCCGGGTTCGATTCCCGCTCACGACCAACACCAGTGACGATTGTCTGAACCGTTCTTGGGCCTCTACTAGGTCGACTCAGCCTCAAATGAGGACCTGATGCATAAAAAGTATCGAAAATGACTATTATTCCCCACAAACTTTGCTTTTGTAACCAGGACTTTATGTGAAGGAATGACACAAATGCACACCACGTTTTCTCATTGAAAATAGGTACATTTCAAAAGATCACTGTCCTGGTCACAGAAGCAAAGTTTGTGGGGAATAATAGCCATTTTCTGCACTTTTGAGGCATAACCAATTAGGAAATAACACTTACTACCAGGGACAAAATATTGTTTTTGTTACACAGTGAATTATTATTGCGCAATCGGTGCGAGTGTCCGTGCATCCATTGGCAGCATGTTGGCGTTATAGAGGTACGTGAACTTGGTGAGAACCCACTGAGATCAAAAGAGCTGCCTTGCTAAATATTATTTTGCATAAAAACACCGTGATGTTTTGTACACGATTATGCAGAGAGACAGAGAGAGTGAGCATTTTGTAAATTATAATTGTAAGGCACTCAGGAGTTTTCGATACCAATTGGGGATTTGTGGGCCACAGAAACAGAGAGAGATGGAGGAAACGAGACACTCAGATGCAGAGATATAAACAAAAGAAGCACCAGGTACAGACACTATCATTTGCATACGGTCAGAGAGAGAGACACACACACAACACACACACACAGGCAATGAGAGACATAGTCATAAACAAAGAGATATAGCTTGAGACAGACACTAATAGAAACGCAGAGAGAGAGAGACATAGCCTGAGAGAAAGAGAGAGACACCCAGATAAAACTTACACGTGGAATTCTGAAACAGCCCAAAGGAGATGGGGGGGGGGGGACTTGGAACAGGCACACTTGTAAAGATGAATCTGTTTGGAATTAAAAGAAGAAAATCCACAAAAAAGTGTATGTGTAAAAAAGTGAACGAACGTGAAATCTGTTTCGGACAAAAAATAACTTCCTTCTTTGCACCGCTAAATTTAAAGCGTACGACAATGCCTGATTTTATCGCCGGCATGTTTTGCGGTGCAGAGGAGAAATGAAAAGGCTGAGAGGAAATGGAATACGTTGATTTTATACGGCAACTTGTGTGTTTTTTTAGGAACTGCAATTATATTAGAAGTCATTGTGGCCCGCACAAAATTCCAGGATATTACATTTGTATTCCATTAGCGCCATTACATATGTTCCCCGTCTGTGTTTCTGCACTAAAGCTGCATTATTTATCTGCATGTTATTCCGAAATCAACATTTTATTTTGGTCTGCGCATTACGTAATATTTTTTTGCTAACCTTCGTGCTGCATATTTTCTATGCGGAGATGTAAGGGGCTTTATCTTTCAGAGACCACTGATTAAATAATGCATTGCATTTACAAGTAATAATGATGATCATGCAATTGTGTGTCCTTAACATTGCCACAGCTCGGTAGCTGGTGGTACGAGGCTGGGTTAAAGACAGCACTTAGGTGTAGAAATCAGTCTCTGTGTGAAGCAGAATTGGGAAAGCTGAGTGTCTGGCATTGCCACAATGGAACACAATCACCACCACCACCACTTATTATCGTCATTTTACATGTACAATTTTTGGCACAGGTGTCAATGCACAATTTAAACACACAGCTAAAGTCACACTCCCTTCGACATCGTGATGAATTTATTTGGAAAAAATCGTGAAATAAAAAACACTACATTTCAAAATGTATGGGGAAGTGGTACCGCAGTGGTTAGGGTATTGCACTGTGAACCCCAGCAACCTGAGTTTGATTCCCAACCACGGATAATATCAGTAGCGAGTGACGGCTGAATCGATTATGGGTCCTCTCCTTTACCAAACGGCGCTGACCAGCATGGCTAAGTGTGATCAAACAACCCCCAATGACAAACATGGTCTGGGCAAGCCATCATTCATCATTGTATTGACGGAGGGGGTGGTGCATTATTATTTTAAGATTTAAAAAATTCTAAATATCTCCCTGCCCCAATCTTTGGTAGTCCTGAGCCTGGAGTGTGGAGATTGCTTATTCCTTTGGCAGGGGGCCAGTGTCTGCATCGGCTAGACACAGGAAAACAATTGTTTACTTTTTGACTCACAGCAGCAGAGGAGAAAGGTTTAATATCAGATTGTCACGGTTGGCTACGTACGGTGCGAGTGAAGTTCAACATACACAGACGGTGGTCATTGCGGGTTTGTGAAGGGAGAGCCCAGCACTCGTACAGATAATGTTAGCTGTGGACGGCAATCGAACTCAGGTCGCCGGGTTCATCGCATAGTGTGCCAACCGCTGCACCACCACTCCATCCCTGACAGACATTTTTACTTCGTGGATATTTGAGATCCCATGGTACACCTGGATATGAATGTTATATTTCAGTATTGCTGCTACTTAATTCGTAGATACATCATTTGCACAACTGCTATATATATTTTTAAATCATCTCTAATTCTGTGCGGACAATGAAATCTCACCACACGTAGGGACTGTGAGGGTGATTTACATCTTAAAATTAAGCGAATGATCCATAAATGTGTCATCGACATTTAATTGTAATAACACAAAGCAGGCGGGGGGGGGGGGACGAAAATCGTTGTGGGAAAGAGCTCGGGGCAAAACTGGCGGTATCCAGCCGAGGCTCCAGGAGCTGACCTGGGTCTTTGCGCCCAGTTGCTGATGTTTACACGAGCTGTAAACACGAGCTGTAAACGATACACCGCTTAGAATCCTTGAGGAAATGTTCAACGCGCGGTTGTAGAGAACTGGGGGTTTTTTCCCCCTTATCCTATCGTCTATTCCCATAACGTCTCGTGGTCTATGGCTATCGTGGGGCAACCAACAGTGGTGCACGCACGCCGACGGTGACAGCAGCAGCATCAGCAGCAGCATCATGGGCAGCCGACTCCGCATATCTCGGTGCCGCTCCTGCGGACTGCCCAGTAGGAGCGGCACGGGGAACCCAGTGAGCGCAGCGCCATCGATCGGCCTCGGTGATGACATGTGGGTCAAGGCGCAGCGCAGACGCGCCGCCGCACTTGGCACGCCGGGCGCAGGGGGAGATTACCACCCCCACCCGCACCCCCACCGGCACCCCCACCGGCACCCCACCTCCACCCCACCGGCACCCCCACCCCACCCCCACCGGCACCCGCACCCCCACCTCCACCCCACCGGCACCCCACCCGCACCCCACCCTCACCCCACCTCCACCCCACCGGCACCCCCACCCCACCCCCACCAGCACCCCCACCGGCACCCCCACCGGCACCCCACCTCCACCCCACCGGCACCCCACCCCACCCCCACCGGCACCCGCACCCCCACCTCCACCCCACCGGCACCCCACCCGCACCCCACCCGCATCCCACCCGCACCCCACCCTCACCCCACCTCCACCCCACCGACACCCCCACCCCACCCCCATCCGTATCCCACCCCCACCCCACCCGCACCCCACCCGCACCCCACCGCCACCCCCACCCGCACCCCACCCGCATGTGGCGTTTGCACGGACGGTGAGATGTGCGCGGCTGCTCGGCGGCACGTGAGGATCTCCCCGTGTCCTCCCTCCTCCATTCCCCCCCTCCCTCCCCTCCCCTCTCCCCCTCCCTCCCCTCCCCTTACCCCCTCATTCCCCTCCCTCCCCTCTCCTCCTCTCTCCCCTCTCCCCTTCCCTCCCCTCTCCCTTCCCTCCCCTCTCCCTTCCTTCCTTCCCTTCCTTCCCTCCCTCCCATCCCCTTCCCCCCTCCCTCCCCTACCCCCCTCCCTCCCCTCCCCCCTCCCTCCCCTCCCCCCCTCCCCTCCCTCCCCTCCCTCCTCCCTCCCCTCCCTCCCCTTCCCC